TAGGGTTTGGGGGTTTAGGTGTCTAGAGCTTTAAGAGGACTTGGCTTGGAATGAGTACTGAGCTGAGGCGAGGACTAGCGACAGACTCTGCTCGTGCAGTTGTCGCAAGCGCTCCCAGAACTCCATCTTGCTCGCACCCCTTGGCCTGGGTCATTGGCAAGACTGCAAACTGCCACATGGAAGTAGAAGAAAGACCTGCACATCGGCAGTTTGCCCTTGGTTTAAGCGCAGCCAAAAGAGTCGAGGGACCCTGTGTACTCCAGCTCCAGAGCCTGGCACTGTCTCGCCTGGACCTGACTTTCAAAAACCATGCAGAGGTTCGATAGCTCGGTGAAAAAAGGAATGAGGCAAGATGAGGAAACCACTACTACCCGGCTTCAGCTTCACTTTGCACGCATAAGGCCCAGTCAGCGATCTCAACCGCACGCTCCAGCATGGTGCGTGAGACTTGGCTGCCCTGGCAAGAGGCTCTCCGCCCTCCACGGCCCTTTCCTGGAACGGCCAAAGACTGACTGGTTCTTAGTACGGAATGGNNGAATGGGTTTTTGGGACTACTATGGGGGACCTTAAGGGACTATCATAGGGATCCGTTCCCACATTCCCTACTAAGAACCACGGAGAAGAAGGAGCAAAGAGGGCCTTGTCCGAGTCGATCGAAGGACTCCGAGCCTGACTTCCAAGTCCCGGGAAGCCAAAAAAACCCGGCCTTTGGGGGCACGGAAGCGCGAAGCCTTCTCATAGAGCTCAGACACGACGAAGTCGGCCGCCTCAATGCATGACGACTTTGCACAAACCGCAGCTCTCTTCAAGATGCATCGGAGACTCCCCCCGGGTCCTCCGAGGCGTTTTGAGCCACGTCCAGTGCTTCTGGATGCCGCGCAGCCTGCCAGACACACAGAACACGGAGAGACCGAAGAGAGTAGGGCAGCAATATGGGGTAACTCGCATGGCCTGCGACAGGCCAGCACACAAGAGCACTTGCACACCGACCCTTGCCAGGGCCACCTGCCAGCTGAAGCGTCTACAGTTTTTGCTAATTCCCGAAATCCCGCATCCACACTCTCCGCGCAGTCTCAGTGCACTGCCAGGTCGTGTCTCTTTGTCTTCTCAGGCTGACCCATCAGCGAGTCTTGAGCACGCTTGCCTCATCCATTTGGTCGTCTGACTCCACATCCGCAAAGGCTTGCTCGAGCAGCTGAACAGCCTGCAAGCTCGAACATTACGAAGGCCGACTGCAAGTGAAAAAGCAGCCGTCTGGAATGGAACTCGAACATCTTTTCAAGACCTCCTCAACTTCACTCGCGAGGATCAGCTGTGAAGCCGCCTCGAGTTCAATCCCCCAGCAGCCGTCTCTGGAGTCATCAGAGGGAGTAGACTTGCCCTTTCAAGCTTTACCCTGCAAGTCTACCGAAAAGTTGAGGGCCACGCCTCAGCCAAAGCTTCCAAGGAGCCTAACAGGGCCTGGCGCTCCGTCGCAGCCAGACCCTGTTTATGGACGATTGCATGTCTTGCATCTTGTCCTTGCCTGCACACTTGAAGCAACTTGAGGTTGCTGGGCCTGGGCGGCACAGTGGCGCGGCAACAATAACCTCAAAATGCTGACCTGTCCACTAGCTGCAGTCATGAGCCTTGATCCCTTTATCCACCAGAACCATGAAAAACTGTCGTCATGACAACACGTCACTTCTCCTTGGAAGTTCCCTTCACATCCCTTTTCCAGCCTTGTCCAGTTTGTCTGCCTGCCTGGCACAGGGGTGCGGCTATCCACAAAGCTGAACAACATTGCAGCGTGTCATGGTCGGGATGAAATGGCAAATCCGTGCATGACATCGCTCAGTATAGCATCGACTTCAGCACATGACAGAGACTAAAGATGCCTCACAGTGTAAGCCTTCGGTGGCACCAGGCGAGTGCGACCAAACACGCTGATGCGCTTGACTCAAGTACAGGACTTCTGCTTCTGGGGAGACTAGGTGACTAGGTCTCATCAGCCCTGCAGATCTGCGCAACCCTAAACCCTAAACCCTAAACCCCTAAACCCTGAACCCTAAACTGCTGTGCGAGCGGGTGACTCCGCAGCATCTGCAAAGATGTCGCTCACGTTCGACGCGAGTGACAAGCGCCGGGACTCGCGCCGCCTTATCCGAAAGTGGAGAGAAGTGAGAGGCTTTGTGGGTTCTTGCTTGTGATGCTGGGGAATACATCAGACTCATCAGACCATTGATTAAAGCAAGCATTTAGCCACGCTGCCAGCTAAAAGCCGGAAGCAAAGGAAGTATAAAATCAACTGACAGCAGTCCGACCTGCCAACGATCCATGAAAACTAGAGCCAAACATCCCCCAAGGCAAAAAGCAATCTGGCAAGAAAGACGCTGGCTTCACATACCTCAGTACCAGGCTTTGGCAGCAGATGGTCCGCATCAGCTGCTTCCATGTGTACAGCCTTCCATGTAGCTGCACACCTTATCTTGAAGCTCGAAGCTGAGGAGCACCGGAGCACCTTTAGAGCAACATCCGCAGGACGAGGCGTAGCATGGCCAGATGGAACTGAATCCCTGGATGCTTCGCCGGCAGACCGGGGGGCGGGGGTGGGGTTCAAGGGAAGCTCGCTTGAAGCTTCGAAGACTTATTGTTGGCATGCCACTGCTGCTCTCAGCGGGTTGCATTTCGTCAACATGATAATGGTGTGCCCACTGAGCAGCGGCCTGCGGCAAGGTGTTTTCATGCACTTCCTTCCTGTAACCACGACAAAACTCGCAGCTCCCACAGCACGCGACTACAATGGGCAAGAAAAAGGATGCACTTCCAAGTCCAAACAGCATGGCTGGGCGTTGGACTCTTCTTGGAAAGCCTGCAAAGCTGGAATTCGATGTTGTTCTGACAGAACAACTCCCTCCAGGGTTACCAGTCCCTTAACATGGCTTGCAAGTATAGTGGCCCAACTTAGGAACAAGCAGAAACCTCAATCCCTATGCAGCCTCCAACTGCGAAGGTATCCTCGCCAGTGCTTCCAGCACCTTAGATGAGCGGCAAGCACACGACACCATCTTCCCTCCAACTCCTGAATGACTCACACATTCAAACGCAACATCCATGCAAACAGAAAGACCACATAGATCCCTTTTTATGGGACCCAAGCTCCAGCAGCTAGATTGCCCGCTGACTGCACAACACCTCGGGTGGCCGCAAAACTCGCTTGTGAAGGAAGACCTGTGCCTTAAACATGATGTGGGTTAAGGGTTTAGGGCTTTAGGGATTGGGGCCTTATGGCTCCAAACGGTCAGGTAACACTGCATTGTCACTGCATACTGCTGAGTCCAATGGCTTCTGGAAGTAAACGCACTGGTGGCAGTGACTGGAAAGTCGGGACTCCTCAAAACCTGCAAGAGCAAGTCTCGTCGGCAACCACCTCACTACCAAACCAGATGTTGATCAAGCCTCTGCATTCTCGCAAGTCAAGAGCGCAAGGTACCGGTCCACCTACAACTATGCAGTGTTGGCATGGCATTCGCCATACACATGCTCTGCAGCATCCTCAGGCACGACCGCAATCACACCAATGATAAGTGCGAAAGCAGCCGAACAAAATGGCATGCACCTGTTCGCGGCTGGGGGCCGGAAGACTTGCTTCAGGACCTGTCTTGCAAAAGCTGCTAGATGCCCTGGGAGCAACAAGCCGCCCCGCCACTGTGCATCAAGATGCCTATCACAACCTCACCATTGCCTGTTGAAGACAACATAAGCAAACATCCGCCAACAAGAAAACGCTTGGACACGGAGAAGCCAAGCCGGCCGACGAATTAGCCGTGGCGGGTGTCGCACCAAATTAGCCTCATGCCGTCGGAACACATTGTGCACATATCATACAAACAACCTAAAGCACAGTGATGTGAGATGCTGACCATTGCAAGGCTGTTCCAAGCCCCCTCCAGGGGGTCTTGAACCAACCTAAAAACGGCCCGTCTGCAAACAAAACCAGCTCCAGACACAACAGTGAAATATGTCAGCGGACATGACTTATTGCTCGTTGGTGTAAAACAACCAAACCTGCAAACACTTGGTTTGTCCGAGACAAAGCCGTTATAAAATGGAATATGAGCAGAGTAGAATAAATCCACTATTCCATA